AGAGTGTTGGTGTGTTGTGCCATGCCAATTCACACAATGATGGCATTGGACCTCCCGATGAAAACCATTGCTGCAATGAACAAGGTTTGCCGAGGCTTCTTGTGGTGCAGACGAGCTGAAGCTAATGGTGGTAACTGTGCGGCTGCATGTGATGTGGTGTGTGCACCGAAGTGGGCTGGTAGACTAGGACTGCCAAATCTATACGCTGGATGAATATGGCGATGCAGGCTAGATGGCCATGGCTAGCAAGGACAGACGTGACTAGGCCATGGAATGAGTTCAAAATTAAAGTCCCTGATGAGTCGAAGATGCTATGTCAGGCGACCTTGAGGAGTGCAGCAAATAATGGCCTCACGACGCTTTTTTGGGAAGACCGATGGTTAGAAGGAAGGAGAATGCATGAAATTGCACTGCTCATATACGGCTTGGTTCCACCACGCATTATATCATCTCGACTGGTTGGTCCGACTATGGAGACTGGATGTTGGGCGATGGACCTTCGCCCTAATATAGGACCGGACACACTGGAAGAGTTTCTCTCACTTTGGCAAAGGGTTACAACTTGGGAGCCTATGGAGAACGTGTCGGACACGATAACTTGGTCGTGGGAGGCAAGTGGGCAGTTCTCGGTGAAATCTACTTATGCGGCTGGTTTTTGGGGTAGGAAGGTCATCCCGACGGCGGACCTGACATGGAGGTAGTGTGCCCCCTCATGGTGCAGATTCTTCACTTGGCTTGCCCTGAAGAATAGATGTTGGACATCGGATTGTCTAGCACGGAGAGGGCTACCTCACCAGGATGCGTGTCCGTTTTATAATCAGGAAGAGGAAACAATTAACCATATATTGCTCACGTGCGTCTTTGCTAGGACGGCTTGGGCAAAGATTTGCGAGGGATTGGGCAAGCCGGATTGGACTCCATCTCAACATGCCTCACTTGCAGAGTGGGTCATCGACAAACGAGGACCTAACAACATGAGTGTGAAGGATCTACGCACCATCTTTGCGTTAACATGGTGGGAGTTGTGGAAGCACAGGAATGCTATTGTCTTCTATGGAGCGAGACCTTCAATTGAGGCTTTACTAGGTAGAGTGAGATAGGAGGGTTTAGTGTGGGCGTCGGCAGGACTACTGAAAGGGAATGTAGCTTCTTTCTTTAGTAGGGTAGAGAGGTGGGAGAATAGAGAGGAGTAGCATGTACTAATACCCTTGTAACCGTTGGTGGAGGTTTTCTTCCTCTTTATTTTTTAATATATGATATGCACACTTCGTGCATATTGGAAAAAAAAATGTTGGTGTGTGTCCAGCATCCGCCAGGACACTGAAGTTCCCAGTCTGCTACTGAAGCATCTGCAAAACTTGGTACAAATGTCTCAGTGACCTATTAAGCTTTGTATATGTACTACCGCCTCCGCTCCTAAATACAAGACATTTTAGACATTTCAATACAAATTGCATACAGAATAAAATGAGTGAATCTACACTCTAAAATATGTCTATATACATCTGTATTTAATGTATATTAAATCTGTAAAAAGACTTATATTTAAAAACCGAGAGAGTATAAAGCAGGGCCATACGCCTCTTTCCCTTCTCGATTCCTTTCCTTGCCGCCGCCGGAGACGTGCGCTGGGTCCCCCCGCGCGGCCGCTGAAGAGGGTGGCGGCGAGGCCCTCGGCCGCGACGCTGTTCGGGCTCAGGCCTAGGGTTTGAGGCGGCGGCCTCTGCTGGTGAGGGCGGCGTCATCCTGGTGGCGGGCGGTGCTCGCCGGAGTTGAGGGCTGCGTCTACTCGGCCGCGCGGGCGGCGAGTTGGCGGTGGATGTGGGCGCCGCGTGGAGGGATCCCCTGCTGGTCTCCTTCGCCAGATCTGAAGACGGCGCCCCCGTGCTGCTGCTTCCTCCTCGTCAATCCGGCTGGATCCGGTGGCGGACTGCGCGGATGTGGGGTTGGGAGCTCTGGATCGGAGTAATTTCTTGGCCAGCTGCGGCGGCCACGACGCCGACGGCGCTCCAGGCAAGGAGGTGCCGTTAGGCGCCGTGGTGGCCTCGACGATAGCTGGACCGGGCAAGGTTGATGGCAGTTGGCGGCGGCGGCCTCTGAGTGCACGCCGGACCGGTGAGTCTCATGCCCGGCAAGCGTCCTGGATGGGATCTCAGGTCTTAGATATTAGGTTTGGCTGCGATGTCTGTTTGGTATTAGGCCCTTCATCAACCGGATAGGTGAAACGGCAGTTTGTTGCTTAGACGGCGGCTTTAATTTTACTGTTGTATTACTTTGTAAGATCTTGTGAGAATAATTAATAAAATGGCCGTCGTCCAGATGCAGAGGCCAGGGGTCATCCTCATTTTCTATAAAAATACGCCTCTTTTCTAAGAAAGAGGAAGAAGCCCAAGAAGCCAGGTAGTTGCTTGGGTATTTCTCTGCTCTAGATGCCAAAGGGAGCTGTTGGGTGTCGGCGTAGTTGCTTGGGTACTCACTATTTAATAAAAAATAAGGAAAGACAACGGCTATTATTGGTAGAGTTCCTCTGGCTAACTTTGTTTACGTGCCTGCCCATTTGCTCGTGAATGAACCTTGTCGTGTCCTTTGTAAGACTTGACAGATCCGTGCTTTTTCATTATCCATGTATACTTGTAATTCTGACAAGAATATGGATCAGCCATCCGTTGCTATGATAGTCCACATTATTGTATATTTTTCATGCTGAAGAACAAAATGATATCCTCGGAAGCCGCATCAAGGCATCAGCTGTGTCAAAGTTCCCTCTCTCGTATATCTTGAGTCAATAAGATTTTTGTGTTTAACAACCTCACAATAAGGTAAAACAACATCATTTTTTATTTGCCGATCTAAGAGGTTATCGTGATTCCAATGAGAAGTGTTCAGACCTTAATTTGCACGTCGGCCCGTCCTCGCCAGATCTGGAGGCATGCTACTCCATCCTTCCCGCTCCTTCCCCTTTGCGCTTGTGGCCGGTGGATGCTGCTGGTTCCGGTGCTTCTGGGATGGTGGTGCATATTGGGACCGGGGGAAACCCTAGGCCGGCTGGTTCGGCTCGACAGCGGCGTCGGCTTCGGGCGACGCATCCTTCCTAAAGGCGGTGTCGTGGTCCTTATTCTTGTCACCTCCGGTTTTCTCCCGGGTGAAAACCCAAAATCCGGTCTGGATTGGGCAGCGGTGGCGCCATGGGCGTCATCCCCTCCTTTGAGGCGTTGTCTGGGGAGCTAGGATTCGGGTGTTGGCTCATGAAGGTGGGGGCTTTGGCTGCCGGCTGAATTTCTGCAGCTGCTCGCGGCGGCTTTCAGGTTGTGCAGAGTGCCCCTTGTATCTTGAGGGCGTTTCCTGTTTTTCATGTTCGCGTCGGAGGAGCGGCGTGGCATCTGGTACGTCGACAACGGCGAGTCTCGGCGGCATGGAGCAGTAGGGGTATCGCCGGTGGGCATGTGATGATGGACGAGCACAGAATGGTGGCGCTGTCTGGCGTCGTGGTGGCGTCGATGGCAGAGAGGCCTGGCACGGTTCATGCAACAGTACAGCTCTGAAGATGGATTGATGGTACGTGGCTGCGGTGGCCTCATACCCGGCAGGGGGCCTGGATGAAGAGCACGCCGGACTGGTGGGTGCCCATACCCGGAAGGAGTCCTGGTTGGGGCCTCAGGTCTCAGATGTTAGGTTTGGCTGCGAGGTCAGTTTGGTATTAGGCCCAGACCATCAGCGCCCCTTCATCAGTTAGATAGAAGTAGCGACAGAGGTTGCGAAGATGGTGGCTTTGGTCTTACTGTTGTACGACTTTGTAAGGTCTTGTGTTATAATCAATAAAGTGGCCGTATGCATCGTCCAGGTGCAGAGGCCGGGGGTATTCCTCCTTTTCGAAAAAAAAAACGCCGGCCCTACAATTTAATTTTGCCTGTATTTCTTTTGTTAGATAAAATGTTTCAGTTTCTTCATGTGATCTACATATGCTCTCTCTGTCACGTACCATCACATCAAAATTGTGCGCCATTCTACAAGAAAAAATTCACCCGCTTATGCAGCGTATTTTTCTCCAGAGTTAACCACGTATCTTCGTGCATTCGCAAATAAAAAAACACGTATCTTGGTATACAATATTTTATCCACAGTTATCAAACAGTACCATTTTGGCATTGGGAAATTTTAACATGCTAAAACTGCTGCTGATGATTATTGTTTGAAAGTAAATCATGAAAGCAACGACATGCGACATTATCCAGTAGGAGCAAGCATTACAACATATAATTAGTGCATCACAAGAGAGAGAAATATAGAAGGGGAATATATTAATATCGTGAAGATATCAATTACACCCGGCCTCTATACGAACAAGATATCCAAAGACATCAAGGATACACACAGACAAAAAAGAAAATAACAAGAAAGAAGAAAAAAGCCCTGCCATGGTGACCGGTCACTAGCAACAACAACCCTCTAACCACCACCAAAGACAACACCCGGCTTACAAAAGAGGTTCTCTAAAAGCAATGCCTTCAAGAAGGAAACAATGCATAAACGTTGTCGTTGCCCAATCGAAGATCTTGAGTTTTCATCCGGGGGAAAGTCCGAGTTCACCGAAGAAACAATGCCTTCAACAAGGTCATTGCCAGGTACAACCAATGAAGGCCAGACCTTGGGTTTTCACCCTGGGAATCGAGACTCGGTGCTTGAGGAGCACCATAAAAATTGTAAACCTCCAGTGCCGCCGCCCCCGCTTGCCTAGGCAAATATCTAGCTAAAAATTCATAAAAAATGAAAAATGAACGAGCAGGAGCAACAACACCAGCGGCAACATTCTTAGCCCGTCCAAGAAGAGAGATCAGAATGCATTTCAAACATCAGCTCCATGCGCTCTGAATAGTGAGGCGACCAAATTAAGATAGTCATAACATCTATCTTGGGAATTAAGTTGTACTACTCACTTCATATCAGAGAAAGAAATAGTACCTATAGTGGAACCAAGGTGGTAACTACCCACTAATGCATCATCATGGCCGCCCAATGAGTAGAATAGGATGGTTGGGATGTGCACTGGCTGCTATCTCCATAGTGTCCATTGCAGCCACAAATGTGCCAGCGTTACCAACTATTTTACATTTGACAGTAACAAGGCAGGGGAGGTTCTCGATGCCCAAATCTAGAGACCCTATTTCAAGTGTGCCTTGAATCTCAAGATTTTCTAGTTTGGGCATGGATCCTGCCTCAAATGTCAAATCTATTGAATGGAAATTTGCATCATAATAGAAAAACTTCAACCATCGGAACCCAACCGCACCACTCACTTTGAGCCTATGTTTAGATGGTGCTGTTCCTTCTAGGTCCAGAACCAACAGAGAAGGTAATCCTCCAAGGATGTGAAGATCTTCCTGCCCAACTCCCTTCACTTCAAGGCGTAAATGTTGCAGGTTGACAAGGGAGCTCACCCAATTCGGAACCTGCGGGATGGCTGATTGCCAGGTCATAAGTTTTTGGAGGCTAAGTGGAGCAGGGCAGGGTGGTGCTTGTAAGAAGCTATGACCATCAAGAATAGTAAGAGAGCGGAGATTGTGTGTGCCTAGTTTACAGAGAGAAGAAGCAATAGCTTTTGTGCAATCCTTAACCCTTGCTGTATCCCCATTGGCAGAATCATGTTCAAAATCCAGGTGCAGCTTCCTCAGATTCTTAAGCTGGCCGAGTTCTTGCAGAAATTTTATTGGTTGATTCAAGACATCGACCCCTTTCAATGTCTCTAGTGACTGCATCTTCTTGATTTCACCAGGAAATTTAACATCATTGTCTACAAGTAGATGCAATAAATTTCTGAGATTGACAATAGATGCAGGTAGTTCACGTACATATGACTGCCTAAGGTCCAACATTTGTAAGCACCGTGCATAACTGATTTGTTCTGGAAGCTCACTTATTCTTGTCCTTCTCAGGTTTAAATACCTCAACTGAAACAACCTCCCTATATTTACTAGATGGTGATTTTCCAATTGCGTGCAACCTCCAAAGTCTAGCACACGCAAATGCATGAACTCATCCAAAGAAGGGATCTCCACAGAATTCCCAAACACATTAAGTGACCGGATATGCGACAGTACCATGCCTGTTGGTGTCGAAGAATTTCCATGCTCCCCGGCGTGCAAAGCAAGCCGACAAGCTTTGCTTTGTGTCCTAATGGACAGATTGGGAACACCAAGTAAAGTAACAAAGTTCTGTTCCATGGACTTGGATATGATGAAATCGAGAATTATGTCATGAACCCGACAATTTTCCACCCTATAATATCTGCTGCTTGTCTCCACGGGTTGTATCAAACTCCTATTGACAAGCTCATTAAAATACATCTCTCCTAAGTCATGTACAGTATATGTGCCTTCTTTG